GGTCAAAATAATGTGTTGATTGTTATGATCTGGCTCTCACAGGTCATCTAAAAATTTGTTAAGATAATTAAATTAGGACTCTTGGGCTTAGGAAAACTACCAGACAGGACTCCCCTTGGTAAATAAAGGAGCAGCTGCCTGGAAAACTTTATTCCATCCTTTGTTCACAGAGGGGACCCCAATAATTTCCATAGTCTTGTGGGAAATACATTGCTAAACATATTATTGTGATATGTATACACTGGATAAGGTCTAAGTTTTCTGTGGGAAAAAAGGTTTTATTTAAAATGTTCTTGGTACAAGACAAAATTAAGGGACAAAGGGTTTTGTGTAACTAATAATCAATGTTATTTCATGGTATATACATCCATGCCTTCTGGGTGTACAGGTCCTCTAAGATATTGTTTATGATAATGATCTTTTTTGCCTCAGGTATCTGCCTTTCCCTAGCACTCCATTACTTGTGATAAGAGGTACATGTCAAGCCAAAATGAGATAATCAGTCAAATAATTGTCTTCTTAAATACTTATGTGAAGGCCGCGGATTTAGCTCAGCGGTTCTAGCGCCTGCCTCACAAGCACAAGGATCCGAGTTCAATCCCTGGTACCAGAAAAATAACAAAACAACTTATGTGATGTATGCTATATGTGTCGCTACACTTAGGGATGTTCAGTCAACAAACAGTTGAAACAACATCACACACTAAAATTAGAGGCTAGACATTATGAACTCCTAAGGTACATTTATAGGGTAATATGTATGTTCTCTTTAGATGGCATCCTACTAAAGGATAACAAATAAGAATTTTCTTTATGTCATTTAATGTCTTGTGATCAGATGGAGGTGTTTGACTAAAAGACTATTCCATACTAAGATGGGCATGTAAACATTACAAAGAAAATGTCAACATGATTGTCATGCTAAAATACTATGTGTAGCTCTTGATCTTAAGTTTCTCTATAATATATAACTATTGTCTGTTAACATTCTGTAGGGATTCAACTACTAAAACAACCATGGTTGGTAAGAAATAACAGCCCTCTAACTGTGCTTTATACTTCAAAAGTGCTTGATATTTTAACTATTATAGTAAGTAAGCTCACTGCTCCTACTGAAATACTTATGTCACTGATCTTCTCTCCTGGGTGTTCAACAACTAAAATTTGGAGACCAAAACTAGAAAGTTAACTGGGCTATGAGGACAGCCAATATTTTGTCCTTGGCCCTCAAGGTCAACAAAAATCCAGGACACAAAGGAACCTTTCCTACAGGATCCTATATCTTTGGTAAGTCACTCAACCTCCTGAGCAGGTAGATTGCTGGGCACCAGAGGACAAATGTACTGTGTACCAAAGGAGGGTCACAAAGAGGGAAAAGTCTCCCATGCTCTCACTGAAAGCACCATGGTCAAGCAAGGCTGTCACCCATCCTGATGGCTGACACTGACAAGAGCTGAGAGGCTCTATGCATGTTTCTGAAGTAATGCCTGAGGGGACTTAACTGACCTTCATAGACAGCAAGAGGTTCATATTAATCGACACAGGTCTCACTTTAACTTGGTCTTAAACACCCAGCAGAAAAGAATAACCAAAAGAGGTATAAAATAATGCCATAGTAATAAAGGTAGATATAAAAAGGGGCTCCAGTTACTGACCCTTTCTGGCAGTTTCTAGCTATACCAGTAGCTGACCACAGTTGTGGATCATTAGAAAAAACTATGGTAGAATCTATAAGAGCCAGCAGGTTACAATCACTATTTCACTTTCTAAGTGTGACTTTATTCCCAACCTGCCCTTCCATTCTAGTGTGCTCATGCTTAGATTATACATGCTCTAATTTCTTTCTTTCTTTCTTTTTGTTTTATTTTTTTTGGTCCTGGGGATCAAACTCGGGTCCAGTCCCCAGCCCCTAGAATTCTTTTATAGGGATCCACCAGAATGAACTTGTGAATGACTCATAACTGCTAAATTACTTCTAGGATGGATCTGAAGTTCCCTGGGACTTCTCCTTATCCTCCCTGTGGAAGGCTATTGCTAGCTCTTCCTGGTGGAAACATCTGTTGGCTTTACTCATAATATTTCTGTTGATCTTATTGTTTGGCCCATGTATACTTACCTGTCTTTCTGGCCTTGTCTCCTCCAGATTCAAAGCTGTATGCCTACCCATGATGGAAATGCATGATACCTATTGAGGACCTTTAGATAAACCTTCTGATAGGTATCCCTGACTGCCAACCACAACTACAACCCCCTTCAGACTGAAGTAGCTTGAGCAGTCATTGCCCCTTGCCCCCTCATGGCAGTTCAGGATACTTCTTCAGAGGCGGGGATATTATAGATAGATGAGCTAGGTAAAAATATTACAGGCAGTCAGATAGGGCTAAGTCTTCGAGAAGGCCAGGACAAAGGTGAAACAGACCACAAGACCACATCAATTAGACTTTCTGGCTGTACGCACAGAAAGGGGCAGACCAACCTAAGTCAAGGGGGTTTGCTGGAAGGTTATTGGGCCTCTTGGTATTGTAGACAGCTAAGTTAGTTATAGATATTACAGCCAGTTATACAGGGCTGGGCCTTCAATGTGGAGGACAATTGTGGCCCAAGGCATATTCACTGAAGGCCAGAATTCTAAAAAGAGAGAAACTACACACCCTTGTGCTTCCTCTGGGGATAAATAGCAGTGATTGATAGTCTAAATAAGCATCAGTCACCTGGGTGGGGGGTCAAGGTCTTAACCTAGCCTCTCCAGGAAATATCCCTGACCCCCACCCTTACTGAAAATCCTTGTAGGCTTGCTGTGATTTGCTTTCCAATTGGACCACCATTACCTAAGTGACTATACTTGTAACCTTATTAGATGTTCATGGCTGTGGCCCACATTGTACCCACATGGGTTTCACCCTATAAAACTTCTCTGTAAAGTAGGGTCTTTGGCTACCCACTCGGGACCCCTCCTGCCCCTCAGGAGCTTTCCTATTAATAAATACTTCCTACTTTTAACAAAAACAAAAACAAGAACATGGACTTCCTCTCACCAGGGCTGACCTGGCTACATTTACTGCTGAATGACCAAAGGGCTAGCAGCAGAGACCAACACTGTGTCCCCACCAGTGATACATCATTCCAGGTGGTGATCTGTTTGATTATGTTGGATCACTCCAACCATGGTAGTGCTTTGTCCTTAAGGGAATCAAACTTCTGGGTATGGATTTGCTTTCCCTGCACATAATACTTCTGCCAAAAGTATCACTCATGGACATGGAGAATTCCTCATTCACTGTCATGATTTTATTATACAACATTGATTCTCACAAAGGAATGCACTTCACAGCCAAAGAGGTGTGACTAATGTACTCTGAAAAAAGGAGATAGAAGAGGACATCAGAGAAATGTATAGATATCCACTGTTTCCACTGGCCATTTGAGAAATAGAGTTAAAACACTGTTGAGATTCCATCTCACTCTAGAAAGAATATCTATCATCAAGAAATAAGCAAAAGACAAATGCTGATGAGGCTACAGGGACAAAGAGCTCTTCTTCATTGTTGGTCGGAGTGTAAACTACTGTGGAAATCAGTATTAAGATTCATCAAAAAATTAAAAATAGAAATTCCATTTGACCCAGGTATTCCTCTTCAAGTATCTTCCTGAAGAGTTAAAGACATCATGCCAGGTGGCTCAGAGGTAACTTTCACAATAGACACTGCAGAACAGACCTTGGCAGGTCTTCAGACCTTCCTGTGGGGACTGCTGCCTGGGGGTGCCATCACAAACACAGTGAAAATTACCACTTTACTAGTTAGTCAAATCTACATTTATTGTGCTGCATACTGGAAAAGACATTAGATACATTATGGCCCAACTGTTATCTCCAAAGAATGATTATTTTTAAACAGTACAGCCAAATTCTGAATTCAAGTATTCAAACTTAAGTGCATTTCTTCTCTAATCAAAGCTTTTCTAAACTGAAAGTTACTTGGAGCTATTTTTGTCTCTTCATTTGACAAATGAGAAAATAATACTCAGAAACTATCTCAGTGTCACAGAGGTAAAAATACAATGTTTTATTTTCTGGTTGTAAATTCAGATCTCTCGGCTGTTCTATAATATTTCTGTTTTTTTCCTCTGGGTTTGTTTATTTAATACCTACATACATACAGAGAACTTTCTATATGCAGTGCATTGGTTAGCATTGAAGAAAGTGGCACTCTAAGATGAAGGAAGAAATCATTCTGTTTCCCAGGGATGTAGACTGTGGATGGAAACATTCTCATATCCATCCTTTTCTCTTTCCTTCTGTTTGATTCTAAAATCAACTTGAGTTGTTCAAGATTTAGACCTTTATGGAAAATAGAATCTAATACAAAGGAGAAACTTTAAGTATTATTTAAGCTTCCACAGATGTTAAGAATTGGGAAGAATTTCTGAAGAAAAAGACAGGTTTGCTGATGCTCCATTGTGAGTATATCTAAGGGTATCACTGAAAGATCTTGGTTGACAAGCAACAGAAAGTGTTGGCTACTTGCAGGGTATGGCCTTATTAGAAGTTTTTTAGAGAACCCTTGTCATTGACAGAGTGTGTGAAAAACAGCCTGAATGTACTAGGCACCAGGATTCTGAGAAATACAGATAGTTACAATTGCTCATTTTAATGAAGCATTTATTAAATGATTTCCTATCCTCTTCAAACAGTTGAGAAAAAGAATATTTATGAAATATCTGAAAAAATTTCAGAGTTTGTAGAAATATACTGTAAATAGTTCCAAAAATACGTTTCTGGGATTAATTCTCTGAATTTAAGCAATTCCTGTTATCCATTAACAAAAATGCAAACACTAAACAAACAAATCAGAAAATGAATCATTAAAGTTTAAAGAATTTATCAGAAAGTGATCAAGTTATACATATGACTAATTTTGACAATAACTCTTTAATTTAATCTTTGCCTTGCAAAAGAACTAGGACAATTTGGAATAAGATTGAGAAAAAACAAAAAACAACTAAAGTTGAAATTTAAGTGCAGATAACTCTGTTGAATCCAATGACTGATCTTGTTCCAGAAAGAATGCTTCTATAATTTTACACATTTCCTCATCACATACATATAATTTCATGGGATCAGATGTATACAATTCCATGGGATCAGATGTATGTAATTTCATGGGATTTTCCTCCCATTCTGGCAGGGAGGCCAGGCTATCAGCCACTTCCTTTGTCACAGGCCAACCCTAGGTCGGAAAGAAAGGAGCCAAGTTCTTCCTCACAGTGTGAGAGAACTTCTTCACCCACAGATTCATCTTTCCAGTGTTGTTAATTGGGATGCCAGAGAGCTTCTGGCACTCAGCAAAAAGCTGAATGAATGGCTCCCACCCAAAGCCTTCCTGGAGCTGGAATGGAAGAAAAATGGGGCAGAATGAGTATGTAGCCTGCAAAAGTCACTTTCAACTCTAACATACACATAAAACTACAAGATGGTTGTTGGTCACAGTCTATCTTTAAACACAGAGCACTTTCTATGTACATTACACTGGCTAGCATTTAAGAAAGTGGCGCACTTCCATTCTCAGCAGTAGCTCTCTCTTTTCCCCGCCTCTAAGAGCTTATTCCTGTGACAAGAGCCCATGTCTTATTCTGCCACCGACCAACCTCAGCCATAGTATCTGTGCTTGCTCAACAATGGTTTCATGGCAGATTCCTAGACAATGGTGGTTACTTTCAGTATTATCATTTCCTTCACATCTAAGCTTAGTGATAAAGATGTGAATCTGCCTGACATGAACATACATTCTCATCATGTGTAGCTAAAAGATAGAAGTGGGTAGCTGGGATTATAGAAGAATCAGTGCTAGAAGGGACAGGTTCCTCATCTGTCATTTCAGAATCTAGGACCTTTGGGAAAACAGACTTGAGAACAAAGTAAAGTAGAAATTTTCAGACATTGCCAGTATCATTCTTTCTTGCTGTCTCTGATGTGTTCACAGCCTTAGGCTACTGGGAAATGTCCAATACTAATTGTTGAAAGTCTATGGTACACCAAACTCTGTGATGAACTCAAGTAACAGATGAAAATGGAGACAAGTGCTTAAACAAACAACTGAAGTTCAGGGTTGTAAAGACATGTCAGGACCCAAAAGTAACATGGGGAAAGAAGTCAATAAAATGTCAAAGGAAAATATTCACGGAGACTTCCTAGAAGAAGCATGTTAAAGCACAAACAGATGTTTTCCAGGTATGGAAAGAATGCAAAACTCTTTCAAGAAGGAAAAGCAGTACTGCTAAAAGCAAAGAAACATGAACTGCAGGGAAGAGTTCGGAGATGCCTCATCAGTGTGGATTTGTAGGAGGTTGAGTAGCCAGTGGGAACTTGTTGCTGGAAGCAGAACAATAAGGCACATCTCTTGATAACAAAAGGCTTAGTATTCTACCTGAAGGCAACAGGCATTTTTTTAAAGGGTTGTAGCATGAAATTGATGTCTTATTTGGCAGCATTCTGGAAAATAGGCCAGCTCAGGTTATGGATAGAAGTAGGAAGGCTGTGAGGAGGTTACTGGACTAGTACAGGTGACTGGTGCTGGAAGTTGGATTTTGCCCATGGTGTTGACCATGGAAGGTGAGGGGCTGGGGAGGTGCTGCCTGGTGGGAACTTCAGTCTGAGCTGCCCAGCTCAGTGGAGGACTTTGCCAACAGCATCGAAGTTGATCTATCTCCAAGAGCTTTGCATTGAAGTTGGATGTCAGTTTTCTAGCTGAAATTCTGACTTTCCCATGAACATGTTCAGACAGATTACTTATTCATAAGGGACATGCTTCAAGGAATCTAGTTTGAAAGGAATCTCAGATTCTTTGGAATTACAAAGACAGAGTGAAAATCCAGACACAATATGCTATAGGAACTGAAGAAAGGGGGTCTTACCCTGAAACTGGGTTCTAGAACTCTCCTTTCTGATTAATTACAAAGTTATATCTGCCCTTTCTAATAAGTTAGGAGGTCAACAGGAGACTGCTAATGTCTTTTAGCCTGGGAATTCTGTGCCTGAAATATGGGCTTTGGGGATGACATTCCTCAATGTATTTCCCATAGCCAGGAAGAAAATGGAAGAGGGGGTTTTAAAAGATATTAAACATAGGGCTGGGGATTTAGCTCAGTGGTTCTGCTGCCTGCCTTGCATGCACAAGGTCTTGAGTTTGATCCCTGGTACAAAAAAAATTAAACATAGCACTACTATTTATTTTATAATGAATCAATACTTCACTATTTGTGAGGTCTGACTTAGAAAATGCCAGTTTGAACAACTTGCAACCAGGTCACATTTGTTACGTATTTCCTAAAAATATGCTTTTTGAGTTAATTTATGTCATCATTTTAGAAGATACAAAGATAGCTCAGGAGAAACTATTTGTAACTGGCAAAGTTGTTTTACTACAAGATTATGTGACCAGAGGCATATTATTAAGCTATATTTTTATAATAATTCTATGTGCTTTCATTTATCTCCAGTAGGTTGTTAGTGGAGTGGACAGGGAAAACACTTCAGTATCCTCCCATTGTCCATTTCAGGGGAATAACACCCAAATCACCAAGAACCACCAACAGGCTGCCCAGTTGTTTATATTCCATGTTCCATTTCCCTGGCTGGTGGGTATGGTAAAGGAGGTATAGAGCCCTTGGGGTCAACCAGAAGTAACACAGCTGTAGAGTCTTGTGGTTCCCATATTCTTTTGTATTTTATCAGTACCTGAAGATATGTTTCGAGAGCTGTCCACCCATCCCAGGCTTTCAGGGGTTCTCCCTTGTCCAGGTAATGTTTTATCCTCTGCTTCTGCTTTTCAGGAGAGAGAGCAGAATGGGCCCGAGAACTGGGGACACCTAGAACTATCTCATTCACATAGACAGACCAGAGGTTACAGGTGGCTTCAGTGGTGTGGGAAGGGAAATTCCATCGACCTGCTTGTCGGTTGTGGCCTAACTCATGCAAGGCACCCCATGTACCATGGGACCTTATTTTTTTTCATTAAGGATGTTTGGTACTTCTTCCATTACTGACATGATGGGGTATCCAGAATGCAAAATACCTGAGGAAAGTGACAAGAAAGAAGAGATGACACACTATGTTTTTAGTAGCTAATAGCTTCCTCATCATCCCAGAAGACCAGAACACAGTGAGAACACACTGATCAGAATCATTGGGCTTTACCCTCTGCACAAGCTCTTTTGCTGCCTACTTGGCCTCCCCATTTTCTTAGACACTTTTGTTCCCACTTAGTCCTGAAGAATAGGTGTGTATGGTATGTGACTCTGAGTGACCTCATTCACTTTCTCATTTTCAGGTGGGTAATGTCTCCATTCCTTGATGTTCTGTGCCATGGACTCTGAGGGAAAATAGTAAAATTCTCCCTTTTCCAATTTAGTCACAATGTAATTTGCTGAATCATCTTGAAAGCCTGAAGGTGGACATCAGGCTTCTTCTTTATTTTTTTCTAATGCCTACATTTTCCCCAGGTTTCTCAAGTTTTAACAAGACCTCTTGACTCTGCTCAGTCACAGAGGCCCTCTCCCCAGTATTCCTTCTATACCAATTCTGATCCCACTCGAGTCTTCTGTATTCCATAAGACCACAAGAGAAGATTCTACCCTTATTTTCTTTCATTCTTACTGTCCCATGGCACCTCATTTCTTGGAAAATTAAAACAACATTATTTACAGGTTTCCAAGTAAATATTGTTTACAGTGTCTTCAGTTTCATTATGCCCCATTTTCTCTGGAATTTCCACAAAATTACACTTTGTAATTCAATGCCGTCTGTTCAATTTGAAAATAAATTTTTAAGCTTTCCCCAGGGTCACCCATCAGCTGAGATCTGAAAATCGAAAACAGTCCTCTCTGGTCTGCAGAAAGGGAAAGGCTTGGCAGCCAGGTGGGCCACAGCCTGCATTATCTCATCCCAGAGGCAGAGTAGAGACTAAGCGCCTTCTAGCTTCAGGAGTTCTACAGTTGGTGCTGTCAGGATGATGTTGTCAGTGGCCAGCTCTCCTCATGGAACTTCATTCTTGGGGATAAGCTTCTTCCTCTCCTCCTGAGACATCTTTTCTGGGATAAGGAGTAGACAGCCAGTATCACATCTCTTTTTCTCACTTCCCATTAAAGCACTTTTAAGACCACCTGTTAAGAGATACCTGGTAGCAAAGCAAGACTTTTCTTGCTCTGAAAGGAAACAAACCCCTGTCCTTTCCCACCTTCCTCTCAGGCCTATTTGGATGGTGTGCTCATAGTGCCCAGGCCCCCTGCACCCTGCTGTTTCACCCCTTTCTTCCCATAGGCTCTTGACCTCCCTCAAACCACCACCCAGTCTCCCTTCAGACCTGCTTCCGGTCCAGACCCCATGGTGAACTTGAATCTCCTACTCACCCAACTTAAAGTACGGAGCCGCCACAGCACCACCGATGGTGACTGCCACTGTACCCAGTTTGTAAGAAGAGGGTACCAGGATGTAGAGGAGGCCCCCCAGAGCCAGGAGACATGCTTCTTGGCTTCATCTAAGAGATACTGGTGGGTCACCAGAAATGGGCTTGAATAATCAGAATGGTGGCTTATGTTGTCCATGTGGCAGCCGATAAGTATCTATCATCAAAAGCACAGATCATCAGGACACAGAGTGAATATCTCCGTGTGAGGGAGACAATATAGGGATATGGCATGTGTGTGTAATGTTAGACAGAATTCTGCTTTGTTTTGTCCCTAGCAGGGATGGAGGGAAGAACATCTCAGAGTGACAAGTCTTGTTTGAATGAGTGGAAGACTGCTTCTGTTTTTCCACTTTCTGTTGGGTACCCCTTTTTGGTTATAATTATTTCTTATTTTGGACTTTTTGAAAAAAATTAAACAAAACCAGTCCCAAGTCAAATAGACTTAAAAATCCCTAACTATGCATTTACTATTTCCAGTGGGTATCAGATAAGAAAGAGCTGTGGGAGGAAACCTTTTATCTACCCTGGGATTGCACCTTTGGATATTACAGGAGAGAATAATGTTCAGCAAAGCTTTGATACTGTGTGAAAAACGAGACAAAGAAAACTATTATCTGCATCTATTATGTGCCAGGCTGTCTTGTATTTCATATTCTATACTTCACTTAGAACTTATGAAAACTCTCAGCTTTTTTGTATTTTTCTTGTCCATAAAATGAGGATGGTACTTTTGTTGAGAGCAATCCAAATCTTATTGAAAGAAGTTAAGTGCTAAGGAAATATTAATCTGAGACAGGGGCTGAAGCCTTACCTTCAGTTTGGCAGCAAGAGCACTCTCAGGCAGTGTAACTTCTGCGGTCTGCCCTGCAGATAAGTAGAGTCCAGTGCTAACCCAGGAATTGCAGCGTCCTGATCAGAACCATATGAAAGGCTGAGAACCTTCCATCACCATGATTCTACCTGGCCGAATTCCAGCAGTCCCTCCCAGAGAGATGGGCTCTTTTGAACACTCTTTAACTGTCACCATGGCTGTCTGACTCAGGTCACTCATACCTCAGCTACAATTCCCCACTGCTACCTTCTTAAAAGTTTATGGCAAGAAAATGAGTGGCTTTTTTCAGGAGACGGGATAATGGAATGCTGCTGAGGCAGGCCAGCCCACCATTTCCCCGGTCCCAACACAACCCTGGGTCTTCTCTCCATTCCATACCTTCATTGATTTCAATGGTGATGGGAGATTCGGTGGGAGGGAGAAAGTAGGGATCACTGAGGGTTAGAAGGCTGTCAGTTCCTGATTTGACGAATGAGCATGCCAAGGATATTAGGATGGCCTCAGTGCTTTCCCTCTTGATTTTCTTTGTCTTATTTGCCACTGGTAAGCCCTTCCACTTGACCATTTTGATAGCATGATTCTTCACAGACTCATAGATGGGGATCGCCTTATGTGGGATTTGAAACATGCTATGACAATCTCTTATTAAATTCTCCAACCAGCTCTTTTCCAAGCACTTTCTCTTTTCATATATCATAGTCTCAAATTGGGCTAGAGCTCTGTGGGAGTGGTAGTTTGTCAGCCCTGGCTTGAGGACTGGGAAGCAGCCTTGATTGCCTGTCTGATCTAAGATGGCAAGACCAAAACTTTGAAGGCACTGGTTACTTGGATACTGACACGCGCAGGTACACCCTGGGTACATATAGCTCCATCACCATGCCTGTGAACCAATCAGAAATCCTCCACCTTCTGCCACTAATTCCTCCACCTCCTTGGCATTCTTGCTGTTAAGTTGGTAACAGCAAAAGACACTCAAGTCAGTGGTGAGATGTTCTGCTATGCTCCACTCCAGGTTACTATTTGATAACATAGGGCCTAAACTTTTAAATTTTGATTGTAGTCCAATCTTGCCTTTCTTCTTTTCTGACAGCCAGCGGAAAGCATTCACTATAAATGGGCCCATTTTTTCACTGAGGATAAAATCCTCATGGCCTGTCAGCACCACTTGGCCTTGGCCATAGCAGGCAGCTGCAAGAAAACAGTTATATGAGTTATCTATTCCCAGGGGAAAGGCCAGCTCACCATGCACCAGGAGCCGTGAAGGTATTCCCATTTTGCTGATGTCCAACATGGTGAGGCCTTGCAGGATCTGCTGCTGGTCCTGGATGAGATCCTCTCCACACCTGGAAATGAGACATACCCCACATTAGTGCTGGTGGAAGGAGAGCGTGTCAAATGAAAATGCAGAGGGCACTCAAGACACAAGTTCATTTGGTACAAGATCCTCAAAAGGAAACAAAAGACAATGCTATTTTAATCCTTGTTCATCTTCAAATCCATTTTAATTAGGGATATTCAATATTACCAAAGTGTAGATTTTTACTTACAGTCACTGTATATCTTGAAATGTGCATGTATGCTCTCAGTGAATATTTTCAAAGATGAAGTGATGTCTTAACTGACAGTTTCTTGACTGTTTTGATTTAAAAGTTGTTAATTTAAGTCACTAAAAATATGAAGCAAATCATGCTTGAAAAATAGGCTATCATTTCTATGGATAGTATACTTACTTGTAAGTCTGGAAGGGCACATACGCTACAATAGATCTGCCCTCATACACAAATAACAAAATGCTGTGACTTTCTCAAATTGTCTTTGTCAGAGTTTTAGATTATCTTTTATTGTTTATTTTTTGTAGTTTTTAAAATCTATTTAAAAAATATTTCACCATTCTGGAGCTTGAACTCTGGGCCTTGCACACATAAGGCAAGAGCTCTACCACTGAGCTGCACACCAACCATCCTCTTTTTGGTAAATTTTTCAAATAGATCCTCTGGAATAATATTTGGAGAAAAATGTTTAGTCTGTTTCTTATTATAAAGTCAAGTAAAAGTATCAGCATGTTTGAAACAGTGAGATAAAATATCTTAATGTTGTGCATTAAATTGAACTTTACAAGCTTGTCAAAAACTCGGGGGTTACTGAGTACACTTTGATATTTTATAGGTCCAGTTGTGTTAAAAACAGCTATGAGAAATGAGTGAAAAACATAACTTACAAAAACAATGTACACAGAAAAATAATATTGTTAATGTTATTGAAAATAAAGAACAATTACTTCGATGGGTGTTTGAGTTTATAGCTAGAAGTCCCCAGCAGTCTCATGAGTTCACAGGTGGGGCTTTTAGAGGTTGACTGAATCATGGGTGACTGAATGGGATTAATCCACTGGTGGGTTTATAGCTGCGTGTGATGTTGGGAGGTGAAGCCTGGTGGGAAGAGGTGGGTCTCTGAAGGCATGGCCTGGAAGGGTGTATATACCTCCTTCTCCTCGATTGCTCTGTTCTTCTGGCAGCCATGCCATGAACTGTTTCCCTTCTGCCATGCCCTCTACCATGCTACTCTGCCTTGGAGCCAGTTGACCATGGACTGAAACACAAGCTGCTAGCCAAAATAAAACTCTTTTCCTTTAATTTGTGGGTGTTGAACATTGTGTTCCAGCAATTAGAAACCAATCAACATAATATGTCGATATTAGAATGTTATTTGTAATAACTGAATAGAATTGACTATGATAGATGTTTGTTTCTTTTTTGCTTGCCTACATTTTTCTGACTTGATCTTCATAATCAGAAAAGTATAATACCTATAAAGTTTGAAAATTTTCATGTATTTATTTCAGTAAATATTGTGACAGTGATCACCATAAATTACTTAATTCATTTTCAGCATACAATTTAGAAAATATCTTCATAGTTTTTCTTCTCTTTTTCTTATCAATAAATAGCTACAATTTATTTATTTTTTATTTTTTATTTTTTATTTTGGTACTGGGGATTGAACTCAGGTCCTTGCTCTTGTGCAGCAGGCAGTGAAACCACTGAGCTAAATCCCTGGCCCAATAGCTACAATTTAAACATCCATTCATCCTATAGGCTTGTCTATTTGTGTAGAGATTTTACAACTAATTTTTAATTTTATGTCTTTGAAATCGAAAAGCTTAAAGAAAAAATTTATAGTTAAGATTTTCTATGAATGAACAAATGTGCTGCTTATACCAACTGCTGATATCAAGTTATAATATGTAGAGAAAAAATGGTAAAATTTTAAAAATTAAGTTTAATGGTACACAATTCCTTTCATTTCAACTCTTGAAGACTTTTTTTTTGAGGGCAAAGTTTTCTAAAATATATCCGTATAGCATAGGTGGTTAAGATCTCTCATTCCTTTTAAAATGACAAAGAAGACATAAATTGAAGAAACAGATTCCCTCATTCTTATAGCTATCAGGATGAATTGCCAAAAGTTTTTCCTGATTTTTGAAAAGTGAAACAAAATAAAAAGCTAAATCATAATTGGAAGGAAACTCATTTATCTGAATAGAGTATCCATTAGGAAAAAATAAAGATTAGATTGAACATTCCTGTTCAATCAAGCAAAACAAACACACAAACAAACAAAAAGAGCAAGAGCATCCTTTATTACTGCTGTTTGTCATAATGTTAATGGATGTTCCAGCTAATGTAAAAAACAAACAATAAAAGTGAATGAGTAAAATTTCCATTGTTTCCTGGAAAGACTGTTTACTAGAAAACTTAAGAGAATCAATTGAGACAAAATACTATAAGTAATGAAAGGGCTTAGTAGGGTGTTTGAACTCAAGTTAGCCACAAAACTCAACAATTGTTCTAGTAATCAGAAATTATAATTTAAAAATATAAATTACAATTTTATAATTCATAATTATAAAACATATACAAGTGCCAAGCCTATTCAGACAAGAATTCTACTAACTTTTTCTGTTGAAATCTTTAAAACTTGAAAAAGAATATAAAGATATTTGAATAAATGAAAACATGTGTATGGTTGTTAAGTGAATCAATTCAATATTTTATAATGTCAATTATCCTCAAAGAATCTCTCAAGTGATTATAATCCTGCTCAGGATCTCAACATATATTACAGGAACTTGATGAACTGATGACATGGGTTCATATAAAAATGTCAGCATCTAAAAACATGTAAGAAATTTTGGAAATGTTTAGAAGTAATCCAGGGATATGGACAAGAGTTTGTTTCCCTATGTAAAAAGTCGCTTCAAAGTTTGAGTAGCAAAAGCAATATGATTGGCCCAGAATTAGATGACTAGGTCAATGATCCAGAAGAAAGAGTTGAAAGACAAATTCCTGCACGTATGAAAGCTTATTATTATTATTATTATTTGTATTAAATTCTTTCATTGGTACATTGTAGGTATACAACACAATTACATTTCTCATTGGGAATTGTACCTTTA